ACTATGACGAAGTGTGCGAAGGACCAAGCTACAACAAAAAAGCAACCCAGCAGTGGGCTGATGAACAGTGACCCAATCTTACTTTGTTTGTTGGTTTTTGACGGCTAATAATATTGGTTTGTGGGTTTGTTGGCTGTCACGGGTGCTTAGCTGTATTGGTTTTTGGGTTTGATTGTGGGTTGGTTTGATGGAGGCAGTCGGTGTAGACAGGCTGGTCAGTTGGTTTGTGGTTGCTGGTTTTGCTGTGTAGGCAGTCGGTGCTTTATGGAGGCAGTCGGTGTAGTGGGTTTGTGGAGTGTTGCGGCTAGGGGCTGGGCAGCAGGTTGTCGGTGGAGTTTCGCTGGTTTTGGTTCAGCGTTTTTCTATTTCGCTGGTTTTGGTTCGCTGGTATGGAGTCGGTGGATGTTTCTGGTTTTGATTTCAGTCGGTGTGGCAGGTCTGGTGGCCTGGGTGTGTCGCTGGTTGGCGTGCCAAGTTGTCGCTGGAGGTTGGGCAGGCTGTCACTGGGTTGCTAGGTGTGGCTTTGCTGCTGATCAACAGAGGTGTTGGTGGTAGCTGAGGGACTGGGGGCTGTTGCAGATTGTTTGAGCAGTGGAATGGTGGCTGCTGGGAAGGTGATGAAGGCTAGGGTTAAGGTTAGGGTTAGGCTTAGAGATGGAGGCTAGGGTTTTGGCTCTGATACCAACTTGAAATATGTGAAAGGGATACTCAAACTCAAAGTAGAGTCCCGTATATATAGCCAAAAATAATACAGAGTGACTTAAACATCCTTGTAGTTTAGGCAAAATATAAAAATCATAGTAAGGGTAAAAAAGAGAAAAGAAATCCTAATAAACCTAGACTATCTATACTCCAACAGTTTGTCTGATTACAAGTTGGTCATTGAGACAGATTCTCAAGTGCTTGTTAATATGGTTAAGGGTAGTTATGAATGCAGATAGAGGTACCTTTCTTTATTTTATCAACTGCAGAAACTTCTCCGACCATTAAATTTTGAAATACATCATATTTATCGAGAAGCAAACTCTGTAGCTGATTTTTTAGCTAATCAAGGTGTCCAAGATTGCGCTGATAGGGAGATTGTTTCACCAGAATCTTTATCACCTGAGGGGCGTCATCTTCTTTTTCAAGATCAGCTTCAGCTGAGAGTCCTAAGGAGGAAATACCAGGCATCTATTCTCTTTTAATTATGCTATCTACTCAGCTCAATCAGCTTCCTCTTTTATCTGGACACTACTTCGGCAGCTGCATGAATATTTTTCCGGCTGAGTTTTATTTCAGCTGGACTCTATCAGCAGGGATCAGCAAATTCAAACAGAACAGCTTGGGGAACTGTTCACGTTACTGTTCCTCTGTAGTGATTTTCAATCAATTTCTTTGCCGCAACAACTCTCAAGTCTCAAGGGTCAAGCTGGCCCTCCGGCTCTCATTCCTATTCTTCCACCAGCAAACCACTGTTACAAAGGTTTAAGAAAATCTGTTTGGTGCAAGTAATGCTAATGAGCATGAAAACATACCTAATCAGAGTAAAACACAACAAAAATAGTTCAAGGAAAGCAGCATCTACAAAATATTCCAAGGAACCAAGGCTTTCTGTACTAAGATTTATGATGAATCGACTTTTAAGTGTAATCACAATGGTATGACTTTATAATCACGTTCCTCCTCGGAATGAAAAACTAGTAATGCAGGCAACTTGGGCCGTGGAGTAAAAACCAAGTGTAAAGAAATCTCACCCTCAGAATGCGACTTCTCTGAACTCATCATCTGGAATCTTAGTCCATGTGTGGCCAAAAATTTGAACTTCATTTGATTGCAAGAACCCCGGTGCTTGGCCAAAGATATTTTAAATTATCATACCAACTCCATGTTTCTTTGGAGTTTGAAAACAGAAAAAAAAAATTCCATAGCAAATGAAAAGCTTATATTTCCCCTGATATATGAGTTACCCAACAATTTCAATCAAAAGCTGACCCAACACTTATTAATGATCTGAGGCGTTCGAGCTATTTTATTAGTTTGGAGGTTTGAAACTCTTTATACTATATCTATATAATAAAACAAGAGTGTGTTTGAATTTTATTTCAGTCATATTTTTTCCCTCAAAATCATCACCAATCATTTACCTCACTCATCATCCCTTTGTCAGACTCAAACGTCAAATCACATCACTCATTTCTATCACATATTTAATCATTTTTATATTTCCTCCCTAAATATATCACACTACTCATTTTTATCATATATTTAATTATTTAATATTTAATTAATTTGTAATTAATATATTTTGAAAAAATTTAATATAGTAGGATCGGTTTTTTGGACGCTCGAATTTTATATTTTATCGTGCCTTCAGACACGGGTTATGACTAGTATACATTTATAGTAAGAAGATAGAACATGCGATAGGATTACCAATTTGACCAATGAAGACCGTATCAACCAGAGATGCAATGAGCACCAAAGAGGGCACTCGAAGGTCATTCTTTTAACCACATTAATAAAAGGAACCATCTAGAATAAAAGAAAAAATAGCAGAAACTATACCGCATATATGGAAATCGAAGGGCATCCGATGCCATGAATGATTTTGAAATTCAAGTTGTTTCATGCCAACACTTCGACTTTTCAGGATCATTAAGGCAAGAAATATTCCCATTCAATAAGTGTATCTAAATATTTCAAAGCCAATGAACTACATTAAATATCAAAGATTTATACTAATTGATTTTTGGAGAAACCATGCAAAAAACCAGTATTCAAATGTTTAATTGATAATGAAAATCTATTTCATTTAAGAATTCAAACAGAACCAGTTGGTTTTGGCGGCGATGGTATATACACAGAAAAAATCAGATACTCTGCCTCGCAGCATTGATACAAATTACAGACGGGGGCAACCTTCCAGGATTTTTGTCAACCGCTTTCTACCCTTGTCATCGGGTGGTTGTCCTTGGTCCTCCTTACCTTTCCAAAGTTCAAAATCTTGCCTCGGTCAGAAGCATACCAAATCATATCAACCATCAAAAACCAGGCAATCATTTCAGCATTCCATAGGCCTCACCAGTAATCCTTGCAGGAGCAGAGGCCATTAAAAAAATGATGGAAACGGCTTCCATCCCTCAGAACAATTTCCCTCCTAACCAATTTAGAGACATGTTTACCAAATTCATGGCAATCGCCACATACCCTTAGATTCTTGGTTATCAAGATTGGGGATCCACCAGCCACATTGATCAGTCCAAAAGCAACTGCAAGCTTTTCACTGTGGCTGAAGAGCCTCTTAAGTTTCTCCTCATCCTCTTCATCATGGAGAACCCAACGAAGATCAGGAACATATCCTCTTTCCTTAATTAAAGACAACAAATAACTCAATTTTGCATAGATTTTGTCACACTGAGGGTGCAATCTATCTCCGGCGGTAAAAGAGTGAACTTCACTTCTAACAACAATCCAACTTTTTCCTGGTGGTTTTCGTAAACCCTTCTCCGCAAGCAGTGTTCTCAACTTTCTGACCTCCGACCAAAGACCCTTAGCAGCATAGATATTAGACAGCAAAACATAATTGCCTGCGTTTGTAGGTTCTAGCTCAACAAGCTTAGCAAATATGATTTTGGCTACTTTAGTTTCTGAATACACTCGACAGGCACTGAGCAGAGCTCTCCAAATAGATGCATCTGGTGCAATGGGCATTGAATTGATTAGCTGCCTGGCTTCATCTAAGCGCCCTCCACGTCCAAGCAGATCAACCATGCAACCATAGTGAACAAGCTCAGGGTTTATGTAGAAATCCTGAACCATGGAGTGGAAAAGCTGCAAGCCCTTTTCTATCAAACCAGAATGGCTGCAAGCAGATAAAGCTGATACAAAAGTTATTCCATTTGGTGTAAAACCAGCTTCTAACATTTGTGAGAAGGTAAGCATAGCATCACACCCTCGCCCATGCATGCCGTAGCCAGCTATCATGGCGTTCCATGAGACAATATTCCTCTTTGGCAAGGTTTTAAAGATTGTTTCAGCATTGCGCATATGACCACATCTTGCATACATAGTTATAAAAGCATTTGCAAGAGACAAATCAAAACCAAATAAAGACTCCCTCTGAGTTGCATATGCGTGTAGGCATTTGCCTTGCGGAAGATAAGCTAGATGGGTGCAGGATGAGAGGACATTAACGATTGTCACCGAGTTTGGCTCCATTTCTGAGATCATTCGGCGAAACAGCAACAGAACTTTGTCAGCTCGATTGTTGCTAACGTAACTGGAAATCAAAGAATTCCATGAGATCAAATCTCTTTCATGAAACCCTTCAAATAACTTTCTAGCTGTTGGCTCATCGCCACAGTTCATAAACATTTCCATGAGTGCAGTGTTCAGTGCCAGGTCAATTTCAATTGGGTACTTTATCACATAACCATGGATGGACCTGCCAATATTTAGAAAATCTTCACCTGCACAAGCAGTGAGAATAGACACTATTGTATGAGAGTTAGGTTCAACTTCTGATTTTTGCATGTGCCCAAAGAGTTCCCATGCTTGACACCTCAATTTATTTCGGGCCAATGCCAAGATTGAAGTGTTCCATGAGATTACATCTGCATTTCCGATCTCCTCAAAAACTTTTAAGGCATCTTCAATACGATTTTGCTCTGCATACATACTCAACAATGGAGTTCCAATATGTATATTCCTCCCCATCCCACTTTTTATTACATGAGCATGTAAGCTTTTGCCATTTCTCAAACCAATGACCAATTCTTCACATAAAGGCAACATGATAGCAATAGTTCTTTCGTTTTCAATGCCTTTTAATCGCATTTTAATAAACATACTAGTTGCTTCTTCATTAGAACTGCTCTCAACATAAGCAGATATCATAGAATTCCACAAAGCGACATCTCTGATAGGGATCGACCGAAATAGATCACGGGAAGATTTTAAACTTCCAGTCTCACTATACATATTAATCAACGCATTTGCTATATACAAATCTTTCTTAAAACCACATTTTATAGATAATTGATGGATTTGCATACCCAATTGATGAGACCCAAACTCTGCACAGGCCTGTATAGCAACCAACATTGAGACAGAGTCGCACTTAACACCATCCATGAGCATGCAAACAAAAAGCTCCAAAGCTTTCAAGTTATCCCCCACATTAAAATACCCAGTAATCATTGCGTTCCAGCTCACAGTGTTCTTTAAAACCATTAACTGAAATACAAGACATGCAATGCTCACATCAAATCTCAAATAAAACCCAATCAAAGAAGTACCCACATGGGCATTCAAATGCAAAATTCCATTGCGCAAACAGTACCCATGTATCTCCTTTCCAAGTCTCCATTCCAAAAGCTCCCCAGACGCCACAAGTAATGCCACAATGGTAACCGAATTGGGTTTCAAATTCTCCCTTATCATCTCCCTAACCAACAATATCGCTTTCTCATATTTCAAACACCCCACACACCCAGAAATCATAGCATTCCATGCAACAACATCTCTATCACCCATTTCATCAAACACGCGATGGCCATCTTCGATACACCCACATTTGCAGTAAAAATCAATAAGACCGGTCCATACTCGGACATCATTAATCAAATTAGTGTTTAAAATATAATTGTGTAATTTCTTGCCTCTTTCAATGGCTTGTAAACGGCCACAAGCCTTGAGAATGAGAGGCAATGTGGTGTTATCAGGCGAAATGCCCAGAGATTCCATTTGGGTATACGTAGTGAGTATTGCGTGGTCATTTTTCTGCTTGCATTGTTGTTTGATGATTGAATTCCAGTGTTTTGAGTCTTGGGCTGGGCTCTGTTGGGGTAAGATTGGAATCTTTTGGAGGTTCATTGATAGAGGCACCTCCATTTTGAAAGGTAGTTAACCTTTGGAGGGGAATGCATAACTGCTTAATCAATTTTTGCACATCGGCTTGTTTGTACAAATCAATGGGCCACTCACCACACACCCACAACTAACAGACGCCTATATGTTCAAACAACTTTCTGGCTTCACAATGTGATACCTCTTTTACTTCATTTCATTATTCTCTTCAGAAGAATTCAACTTTCTAGCAGATTCCCACGAAGAAAGCTAAAAAATTGGAACCGAAGTCGTCACCGCCGTCAACACTAGACTGTGAGCAATGAGCTACTGCCGTTTAACAGCAGAGATTGAAGGCGAAGGATCTAAGTTTGTGTGGAACGCGAAGAGTTCGTCGTTGGTATTAGGGACGTTTGTATTGTGGTTTAATCGATGGAGTAATATTACACAGGGACATATAAAATTTAGGTGGAATAAGATTTTATATTTATTTTATTTTAATTTAATAATATATTATATCTGGTGTTAAACTATAATTTCAACATTCTCTTTATTTATTTATTACAAATATTATCTGTGTAATATCTACTTAAAAAAATTAACAATTACGACTAACCAATATAAAAGATAATTTTAATTTTTATAAAATCAAAAATTACGACTAGACTTTTATATGAAAATTGTACCGGAGGGTATTTTGATTTTTTTAGTTTATAATACCTATCCTCTAAGTGGTATTCATTAAGACATTTTACAAGGCATTATGATTACTGTTCATAGCGGGTCGGTATTACGACCCGTAAAATAGTACTGACTATAAAATGTCAAACAAACAACGTATAAGGTAGGTTCCACGCACTATTTTTTTAATACCACCTCCTTATACAACTCTAATACTCAAAACAAACGCCCCAAAGAATCTAAAAAATTATAATTTAAATGTATATTATCATTTTTGAAATTGTGACGTGCTCCTATTTTTTATTTGGAGCTAATTTTAACTTACATTCTAAAAGATTACGAAAATTTTAATTTACGCCAATAAAGTTTGAAAATATTAATTTATATCTTAAAAGATATAAATTCGTATCTACTAGCACTGGAGATTAACTCCGTCCAATTTATTGTTAAAAAGTTTAGACTAATTATAAATTATACCCTTAAAAGTTAAATATTTCATATCTATGATTAAAAAAAAATTACATTTATTAATGTTTGTTAAATAATTCTTAATTGTATCATATTTTAACATCTTCCTGTTGTGTTCGAGTTAATAAAAAAATATTTTTTAAAAAATTATAAAATACCTATTTTTATGTATACGATACTTGTTAAATAACTATTTTTTGTCTACAGTTAGATACAAATATTTTAATTATACGATTAAATTAAAGTTAGATACGAATAATACAACTGTAGACAGAAAATAATTATTTAACAAGTATTATGGGCAAAAAAATAGGTATTTTTTTAAAATTAAAAAAATATTAAATAGTATTATGTGAATTGTTGTAAATGTGAAATATATGACATAATGCAATTGACTTGACATGACAATATTTTTTGTGTTAAAAATATTTTTTTTTATTGACTTGAACATAACACAAAAATGTTATGATACGATACAATTGAAAGTAATTTAACGAGTATTAATTGATGAAATTTTTTTGGGATCATAAATGTAAAATATTTAAACTTTGAGGAGTGTAATTTATAATTAATCCAAATTTTTTTAACGGCAAAATAGATGACAGTTAGTCTCAAGTGCACATTAATAGGTATTTATATTTTTCAGGGTACAAAATAATATTTTTAAATCTAGAGAATGCAAATTAAAATTTTAGTGATTTTTCAAGATGTAAGTTGAGATTAACTCTTTTATTTGTGGGTTCATTTCATGAAACATTACCGTACTCGTTAACAGCACCATGTAACGTTATGTTTATTAAATTATTTCCTAAAATTTGTATTTTAAATTAGTGGTTGAATCAGTGGAGGTTATTAATCTCTATCAAATATGTAATACATAAAATTTTGTCAAAGCATTTAAGATACAATATTTGGTAAATAAATTTGAGAAGCATAATTTCATCTCAGGTAGAATACTAACATAGAGGAGTTGCATTCTGCATTCCAAATGATTTTACCAAATGTTACATCCTAAATGATTTGGCGAAATTCTGTACATTGAATGTTTAGTGAGATTGAGTAAGACTCACTTATCCAACTACCTACATTGATTTAATATACAAAATTTAATAAATAATTTGATAAGTATAATAATGCTCCTTAAAAGATCCTATGGACCCCCAAATGAATAAGGATCACTAGATGAATGACTCTCATCACTTTTTTTTAAATGAAACCCATAAATCCAATGATCCTTATTAATTTTAAATGCCATTTCGAATTCCGAGCATTGCTCATATATCTTTTGATAGTGGTAAAAATGGAACTTTCATTAATGACTATGGTAATGGCGAAATTGAAACTACAATTCATAGCACACGTGTTTTAGCTTAGAGAGGATATTTCTATAGCGTTCTTGTATGGTTGAAATATTACGAGATAACAAACAAAAAATTATCTGCTACACTGCTTGACCACACTAGAAAAAAGATGCTCTAAAATATTAAATGAGGGATGCTCTAAACATTTATGCCATTGATGTAAGAGTTGAAGGTTTGAAAAATCATGTGTCTGGAGAGCTTGATAGGTAGACTAAAAAAAAAGTTTCAACATCCCAGGTACAAACCAGCATTTGTTGAAAAATCATTGCCAAATCTTTTTCCGATTCCAGTTCCTTAAAGATGCAATGAGTAGGAAAAAAGTCACTGAACAATTTAAAGATTTGATAATACCACTAACAAAACGATAAATTAATGGAGAAATTGAGAACACGAAGAGCAGATGAAAGTGATAAAGAGGGAGAACAATTAATTGAATATTTTTTTGAAATAAAGGATAAAGATTCATCTGTCACCTGAACTTTATCCCTACTAGAACAAGTAGAATATGAAGAGAAAATACTAAAAGAACATGTTATGTGGTCCGTGGCTTCAAAATTTATTATCCAAGGAGTATATGATGATGACATAGTAAACACATTGACAAACATACCTATATGAGCAAAGTTGGACGAAACTTCAAGTCGAACTATCATACGCCGAATAGTCTGCAACTTCTCGAGTGAAATAAATAGAGGTTACACTCCTTTCTGACATTTCTTCACGATAGGGTCAAACAATTATAGCGACAAAGTCACAAAACCAACAAAATACACAAAATTAGTAAGTAAATACAACCCAAGTAATATACCTTAAATTGAAAAAAAAGCGTCGACAGTAGCTAAACAAATTTTTTGACAGGAGTAGAAGCGGAATATGAAGTAACTGAAGTAGAAAAAAGGGAGAAACATTGATGCTGAGCCTAAAAAATGGTCAAAAATGTCACAAATCTAATCAAAATACAACAAATCTCTTTGAATAAGTTAGATTACCTATAGTCATACCTCATAGAGTAGGATTGAGCAAAAAAAAATAATATGGAGCAAAAAGGCCACTGGTCAATCAAAAACCTAATGCCGAGCCTATTTCGAACAGATTCAACTCAAAAAATAAATAGCTAGATTGCTGAAAAAATAGCCTAGATCTGAAAATTGAGCCGAAAAACTAAAAAACCTTTAGAAAATAAAAAAAATATATGTCAAATGGCTTCAAAAAAATCTAAAAAAAAATCATTATACTCAGATAATATAGTCAAAGAATCCATGTTGAAATCAAAAAATTCTGACATGAGTTGACGTTGACATCAACCTGTCAGATGCTGACACTAGCATATCAATGTCTAACATGCATCAATATTTGTTGTAGGAGATGATTTTTGATGAATTTCAAAAATTTTGATGCATTAGATTTGATTATTACTCTGATATCAAGTTAGATTGTGAGATCGTGAGGGTTAGAAACCAAATAAAAGAGAGAGAAAAGAATACAGAAGAGAGTAGTGTATTATATTACACAACTACACTCAACTTTTATATATAATCACATAATACAAAATTATCGTTAGTCTATAAATAACATATAACATAACATAAATGATTAAAAACTATAGAATTAAAGTTGCAGAATTTATGCAACTTCAAAATTTTCGTTTCTCACAAGTTATCTTGGTTCTTACTTGAAATTGCGAGTCGAGTAGATAAATCCAAGACAGATCAATGCAGATTACGAGAGATGGTGTTGGTTGGAGTGAGAGAGAAAATGACGAGCTAGGAAGAAAGAAATCTAACGGTTCCATTGATTTTGGCGAGTTGTTGATAGAGAGAATTTTTTGTGGACAATATTTATGTAATAAAGTACAATACAATTCAAATCTCAAAAGATAAACAAAATGAGTTTTACTTTCTGTGGTTCAGATCATTTTAAAGTTAATGTGACTGCTAATATTAACTCCTCAAATTTAATAGAGAGAATAAGCTCCCTAAAAGCGTGTTTGAGGTGACTTTTCAAAAATAATTATAATAAGCACTTAAAAAAAATAGTATTTGGAATGGCCCCACCACCACCACCCCACCGCCCCACCACTATCCCACCACCACCATCATCGTTGCCGTCACCCTACCACCATTGCCTCCTCCCAATTCCTACCACTATCACCATTATTGCCACCGTCGTCACCACCACTCCTACCGCCACCTCACCACCATCACCAATATCACCACCATCATTGTTATTTCATCACCATCTCTGCCACAACCACCACCACTATTGTCATCACTGCCACCGCCACCACCCATTACTCACCACCATCGTCATTACTCATTACCAATTGCTACCACCGTTGTCCACCGCCATCACTATCATCATCTCATTTTTATATTTATTACTACTACCACCATTATCCCATCATCACCACCCATTGCCACCTACTAGCATAACTCACCACCACCCGTTGCTCACTGTCATCCACCACTGTCACTACCAATCACTATCATCGTCGCCCACCACCATCACTATTGTAACCCACAGTTGCCATCATTA